GCTATAAAAGAGTACTGGGATTCATGTCAAGAGAAGTCAGGAGCCAATGTGAAGAGGCTACTGCTGACCTGATAGGGTAAAAAATTCTGAGCAATAATAAAAACTGCTATGAATTAAAACACATAAAGTATGTTTAAATCCATGTTTTTATAATGATACTCAAAACCCTCACTAAGCCATATCTGGAGGATGGTAGGAAATAAACTTGCTGTGTTAAATACTTGTAAAGGCATTTTCCCTGCTTTTCCTATAAAAATTGTTTATCAGGGCAACCAAGTAGCTGGTGAAAATGTTATTTTTTTTTTTTTTAATATACATGCTGACTAATAAAGGAGGAATGAAAGAATCAAAACAGTTATCTAGGTAATAAGCAATGTCTAGTATTATTGCAAAAAAAAAAAAAGAGGCAACCAGTAATGAAAATTCTCCTGACTGAAACACACCACATGACTGTCTACAAAGTGTGCTTGTATGTGCGTGAATGGTGTGTGTCAAGGCTGAATACACTGAACCTCTAGATTTAACTACTAATTTACAGGAAATACAGGGAATAGAGACACATTTTAAGTGACAACAAAATACAAGCTATCAGGAGTTGTACAGGACAGATGACCCAGTTTTTCAACAAATACACTGCAAGGGAAAAAAACAGGCATGGATAAGAAGCCTACACTAGGAGGAAGTATCAATTAGGGGAAATTCATGAATCTAATTTGAACAAACTATAAGTCAGTCAATAAAAGAATATATGAATAAGCACGTTATATATGTATACATTGGTATATAAAGATGTAGTATGTATACATATATATACATGGATATGTATGTTTGTATGCACATAAGCTAACTGGAGAGATCTGAATATAGACAAAAGAGTTTGGTAATATAAAGAAATGGTTAATTTTTTAGGTATGATGAAAATATTGTTTTGAAGAAAAAGAACTACTTATGGAAAAAATACAATGAAATCGTCACAAATTGGTACAATACATGGAATTTGTTCAATATATGGGGAGGTGGTGAATGGGAGGAATAACTAGCAGTGAGTTGAGATTTAGGTAAACAGGCAATCATTGTAACTAATCTCTCTAATTCAATATAAGAATAAAATATTCGGGCCGTGCTGGTGGTGCAAGGGGTTAAGCACTGCACTATGAAGCAATCCACAGCCTCTACAGCATGAGTTCCATCCCTGGCCAGTCAGGAAGCAGCCCACAGGGCGAGGCAGACCTCTCCTGTCTCACCCGCTGCTTCCCTCAGCAGTGTCTTTCAGTCAGTCTGCCTGTTCTGTTCCCCACTCTGTCTCTGGTGAATCCTCTCACCCCCCCATACCTCTGGCCTGTACCCCAGCTCTTGTATGCATAAATAAATAAATCTTAAAAAAAAGAATAAAATATTCTATAATAAGTTAAAAACTGCATGAATAAAACCATTAAAAAAGTATCCAGGTAATATCAACAAGAGGTACTAGAACACTGATAGACAAAGACATTCCAACTGAAGAGTTCTTTCAAAATATAGCTTCCGAATCACCACTATTTTAATGCACCTCAAAGATTAAAGAAATTATGACATATTTCTCAGGACTGGAGTGGAGAAATGAGGATAAAATGGTGAGAATCATGTTTAAACACTATAAGGATGGGGCAGTGTATTAATCATTTACATTTTACATCTATGCCTGACAGAGGTAACTCAAGAAATATTTGGTGAATTAACGAATGACTCTTAGCCTATTTGTTTTCAGAATATTTGTCTGAAAATGAATAGGCTAAGCTTAACAGCAGCTAAATGCTAGATGTGAAAAAATCATTATTCATATTTTGATATTAAAACAAAAATCACTTAGGTTACTGAGTTTAAAGAGCTCGGCTTTCTGTTTCAAGTGGAAAGGGTTTTCATCAGAGCCACAGACTAGTCACTTCAATAAGCTACAAGTAAACTCCCAGAACAAAAATAGTTTTAAATACACAATTGGGTGGGGTGTGGCTAGCAAATATTCTGATTCTACAATCTGTTTTTGGACAAGACAGAACTTCTTATGTGACTAACAAAGCAAACAGTAGTCAGATTCCCTGTGCTGAAATAAGTACGCTGTTTGTAAAAAGGGTTGAACATCCAAGCTTATCCAATAAAGATACCACATTTTCCAAAGTTAAAGGGGGAATTATAGAATGAAAAATACCCACGTATATTTACATGTCTCCCTCAAAAGGAATATAACCAGCTGCTATGGATTTGGATTATGGAGACAAGTTCACTTTCTGATCATGGGGTATAGAAAAATACCTCAAGCACAAGAATAGCCTAATTTTAAAGTAGGGAGAAGCTTAGAAAAGACAAAAAACAGACACCATGGTTAAAGTGAAAAGTTCTGAAAATATTTAGAGTGGCTATTGAGAAACAAATGGTCTACCCAGTTGCACAATATGAGCTGAGAATCAATCTTCTGAACTTTCACAAGAATGATAACTAAAAGGATATCTGTTTCAATTATAAATAAGTGCATTTGTATGTGCATGTGTGTGCAACTACAATACACACAAAATACTAGAATATTTATTCTAATAACATCTTTCAAAACAAATTCTATAGTCTAGCATACAGTGTATCTATGGACACAGAGCATCCATAATGTCACTGCATCTACTATTGCAAAGTCTTCTTCAAATCAATCAGAAGTAGATGAAGGCACCTATTTCTCTCACTTATCTTTTATGGTCTCTTATAGATGTAGTGGAGTACCTACGCAGAATAAAAAGCTATCCCATACATAGATCAATTCCAAATGATGAAAGAATAATTAGAATATAAACTTTCCAATCCTCCTGATAATCTGAATTAATAGGCCATATTTCATGTGAGTTTTACATAGAAATGTGTGACAATGTAGATTTTTAAATATGGCAACCAATTAAAGTTTTAAAAGAAAAAAGCAGACAGTGAGATGAGTTTTCCATTTACAAGGAGCTATACAAAGTTTAGAATACACACAAAATTCAGTGTGGGGAGAGGGGAAAAAACCAAACTTTTATTTTATCCACTGGTCAAACATTCAATTATTTTAATTATATCAATCCTGAATCCATATTACTTCAATTTCACAGAAATTAAAAAGAAAACGTATCTATGCCTGTGTGTGGAATTCTCTTTCATACCTACTTCACCTATGCTGATTTGATTTCATTTATATACAAATGATGACATTAAATAAGATATAAAATTTGGCCATTCTAATTCCTATCTTTATCAGATTCTTTAGATCCTGAAAACTGAATCTCCTAATATTAAAGGGACTATTGAAAATAACAAGGATAATGTTTGTTTTCATCTCTGGGGAAAAAAGTAAGCTAATGATATTTGTAAAAAAAAAAAAAGGCAAAAGTAAACTGAAAACAAAATTAGAACATTTTTTTCTGAAAAAAATGGAGCAAACTTGTATGAACTGATATAAAAATCAGGTTAAGGAATTTTTCAATCTCTACTGCATCTCTACTGTCACTTTAAAGTAAATTCCAAAACTAAGAAATAAAATCTGAAGCCACTTATTGAAAATTATATATAATGTTATGAATTAATCTACACCCTCAGGGTGCTAACTCTACCATCAGTTCATGGATGTCTTACTTCTAAAATATTTAAAATATTTGATTATGCAAACATTTAAAATATAAAATATAAAGTATTTTCTATATATAATATAAATATGCAATCACATTTTAAATTATTATTTAAATAGCATTCACTTTATTAACTTCTGAGGACATATACTAATAGAATATTTATAGTAACAGACACCTACATTTTCAACATTTTGTTTCTTTCAATTCTAATTAGGATAAGTCATTTTTATCCTAAATTTTTACAAAAATTAAAAAAAACTTAATGCGCACATTGATGGTTTGATTAAGAACAAGAATTTAGATGATGGTTTAAATCCACACCCACCTCCAAAACACTTCTTCCCCTACTTTTATATATTATCACATTTTATCAACTAAATAACATAAGAATGTACCTTGTAAAAAATGCAAACACAATTCCTTCTAGAACTAAGTGAAATGTTTGAATAATAACTTTCAAAATAAAATCACAGAAGAAGATGGTACATGGTTTAAACTATTAATATAAATTTAAGACAAAGAGTTTATTTTTGAGCAAGAAAATAAGGAACAAGAGAGCCCAAGCTGATGTTGTGTGTCTGCCCAATAGAACTTTCCACCATAATTAGTGCTTTCCACTTCTGGGGGAGGAGGAGCTTAAACTCAGGGTAACCTCATGTAGTAAGGGAAAAACAGTATAAATACTGCAGGACAACTCAGCAAAGGACACCTCTGCACTGCTCACCTGGGCACAAGACTCTCTGAAAGTTGCCCAGGAAGTATCCCCAGCAACTCTATAGGACCCAGGTAAGTCTATGACTTGAGCTCCCTGGTGGGCTGCCATGTTAGCTTTATCTGGAAACAGGCTTCAATAAATTAACTACCTGTCTTTGTAATTTTGAAACAATAGCTTTTCAAGAAAATGCATTCAGTTTAATCTGTATTAGTCTATATAAAAGATAGTCTTAAAGCCATTTTTTGTAAATATCATATCTTACACTGAATTTTAGTGTATTTTGAAATCTGGGTATTTCAGTCTTTAGCAAGATCTTATCTTTATCAAGAACTTACATTATTTAATACAAATATCCAATTATGGTTTCTGTGGTTTTTTTTGGGTGAATCAATGAATTTGTACTTGACACTTGAATACAGTTTCTTAAGACAACTAAGACATACTTTCGTATAACTAAAAAATTAACTTATGAAATATATTTATTACTTTATGTCATATAAGCGTTATGTGTAATACTGTCATTAATTTATGGCATATATTCAAAATATCCAGGATTAGTTTAAAAAGTAAATAACTATCTAAAGAACTCATCTGTGCAGCATCAAAAAAATACTACAGGTTGATAATAAAACTGTAAGAAATGATTCTTTTTTGTTTCTCAGAATCCATCTAAGAACATGCTGCCTCAAGCAGCCCTTTTGCTGCTAATGTCCCTGAACTTGGTTCATGGAGGGTTTTATGCTGAGCGGTACCAAACACCTACAGGCATAAAAGGCCCACTACCCAACACCAAGACACAGTTCTTCATTCCCTATAGCATAAAGAGCAAAGGTAAACCAAACGCTTATATTGCTTTGTTACTAGTTGATGGTTGTTTTCTACAAACATTGCTTCAACAAAATGTTTTTAACTGTCTAGTGTTAAATTATTTTCAAACCTCTGAATTAGCCCCAAATGTTACAAAATGATTTGTAAAAAAGCCAAGAACCTTAACATCCTTTACACAGTAAGTCTAGTAGCAAGCTATTCCTGAAGAATATTAGGAATTTTATGTGTAGAAAATTTTTCCCTCTAATGACGCTTTTGCAGAAATAACTATCCATAATCTAGAATACTAATCCAATCAAAATTAATAAAGTTTAGTGTTTTAACTAAAAATTACTGCCAACTGTATAATGGAGTAGCAGGCTTATGTATCTAAATACTTCACATATTTACTTTTAAAACCTATTCAGCTAGCACACAAATATCTACAAGACTGAGCCTTTATCATCAAGGAAAATCTGATGCTTTCCAAATAAATTTAACAGGCAAATGAAGTAGAAATTATCTCACATTTTAAATTTGTTTTTGTATAGTTTAGTAGACAAGTGCAGAGACTAGCTAGATAGCTAATGTTTCTCGAATTAGTTATTCTCTGTGTGCCTTAGTTTCCTCATTTGCAAAACAGGCCACAGCTATCTCAAAGCTTGAGTGAGTCAATTTCTGTATTTAGGTGTTAGCTATTACTTCTATTTCTGCTGCCATTACTTCTACTTGTGTTAGTCCTACTGGAGCAGTACTCATGGAGTAGTCTTAGGTAAGTTTTAATTTCCTTCCTGAATCTATTCCTGATCTCTTCAGCTTTCTTGCTTATTATGAAGAGTACTGAGATAATGTATGTAAAGTATGAATAGATCTCAAAGAAGGGTGTTTCGTTTTGTATTCAGCAACTCCATTAAATATCATGAGATACAAACTGCCTGTAAAACATCCACTGAATTAAACTGAATGATCTGCAATGAGTAGTATTCATACTTTTCCATAGCATATTTTCATTATAGTTATTTTATTTAAAAAATTTTCTCATTGATAAGCATGTTGCTTAAAGAAGTATTTTTATCTTTTATAATGTTTTTCTTTTGCATTTGATCTTAATACTTTCAAAAATTGTATTATTTTTTGAGATAATGTTGGTTTACAACACCATGTGTAACTCAGAGGTGTTATACCTTTTCAGCTATATGTTGCCACACTATGTCCACCACCACCCTAAAGATATTTGCCATAGACTTTAAAAATTATGCTTTCAGAGACAACCAAAATTATATAGGTTTATAAGTTAAACCTGTAAGATTATCTTTTAGGGCTTCCCTGGTGGTACAAGCAGTTGAGTGCCACACTGTGAAGCTGTCCGCAGCCTCTGCAGCGCGGGTTCGGTCCCGACCGGCTGGTGAGAATCCCACATGGCGAGTCAGACCTCTCCTGTCTCGCCAGCTGCTCCCCTCAGCAGTGTATTTCATCAGTCTGCCTGTTCTGTTCCCTGCTCTGTTGCTGGTGAATCCTCTCACCCTCCCGCGCACCTGGCCTGTACCCTGGTTCTTGTATAAAAATACAAATAAATCTTAAAAAATTTTATAAAAATTATCTTTTAAAGAAGATGAAATTCAAAATATTTCATGAAAGCTAGCTTAACACTTTAAAATAAGTGCATAGGTACATAACAGATACTCTAGATTGTGTCAAAATATGTAAAGTAAAGAAAGAACAAGAGAAGGAAACATGCTACTTTAAAGTCATACATGTAATTCGAAATGCTATGGTAAGCAGCATCCTTTACACAGTAAGTCTAGTAACAAGCTATCCCTGAAGAATATTAAGAATTTTATGTGTAGAAAATTTTTCCCTCCAATGATGCTTTTGCAGAAAGCACCTATGATCACAAATTCAGACTTTCTGTAGCTTATACCAAGATCAAAACAGAAAGATGTAAATTCAAAATAAAATGCCCCACTTTTTTTTTTTTTTTTTAAGATTTCATTTATTTATTTTTTGCATAGAACTGGAGTGCAGGCCAGAGGTGCAGAGGTGGGGGTGTGTGTGAGAGGATTCACCATAGACAGAGTGCGGTGTCTTTTCTGTAAATATATATTTTAAAGGTTTGCAAAATGAAATTACCATAGACAGAACGGGCCAATCTACTGAAATACAATGCTGAGGGGAGCAGTGGGCAAGACAGGAGAGGTCTGCAGAGCCATATGTGGGTTAGCTCCCTGACTAGGGATGGAACTCATGTTGTTACAGTGGGCCTTCATGGTGGTAGCACTGAGACTTAACTCCTAGGCCACCAGGGAGACCCAAAAATGAACCACTTTTAGATGGTTCTATCTTCCCACATTAATGTACTGCTTGATCTTCACTATTTTTGCATATAAATGAGTCTGTATTTTGTTAACAAAATATTTAGGAGGTGTATTTTATTTATTTTTTTAAAGATTTATTTATTTATGCACACAAGAGCTGGGGTACAGGCCAGAGGTGTGGGGGATAAGAGGATTCACCAGAGACAGAGTGGGGAACAGGCAGATTGACCGAAGTACACTGCTGAGGGGAGAGTCAGGAGAGGTCTGCTGCGCCATGTGGGTAGCTCCCTGGCTGGCCAGGGGATCGAACTCGTGCTGCAGAGGCTATGGACAGCTTCACGGGTTGCGTCTTAACCCCTTGCACCACCAGTGAGGCCCAGGAGTTGCATTTTAGTTATGAAATCTATCTTAGTCTATTTGATAGCACAAAGAGAAAACTCAAACGCATTATCATCCACTGGCAGGTAAACCAAGACAAAAAGCCACAATTTATAAAAGTAAAATACTACTAACACTACTAACAGAAATACAATGTCCCGAAGTAATCCCTAGGCATGTGTGTTCAACACAGAGAGCCTGATGCAAAAGATTCCATGGCGGGTGAGCACGCAGGTGCCAGTTCTGACACAGTCAAACATTAGGTCCATGTGTGGGCATGTAAGAAATTTCTCTGCTGGGTAGTAGTTTTCTTTGAGGTCGGCACCAATCTACTAAGTCACATACAGAGATTGTCCCCCAAGGACACAAGACACAACAGAAGTCACATTCTTTGCTGCACTGAAAAGGGGAGGCCCCACTGTAGCAATATTCTAAGGGATAGTGATCACTCTGTCCTGGAGTTCTAGTCTCAAACAATGCTAAATGCAGTTGTTTCTAATAAAACTCTAATCAGACTTGATTTCCTCTCTATTTTAATAAATAGATTTCCAACCAGCCTAAGACAATTATTTTTAGTATGGATGTGAGCTTTATAGTAAGTTTCTGAAGCAAACCCCAAATGAACAGTTTGCATTTTTTAAAAACTGCTGTTTTATTCCAGGTCATTAAGAAATCCTTTTTTTACTCATCTATTTTATTTGCAATGTATCAACCCTTCTATACACACACACACAACAGATGTACTTACACTAAAGTCACTAAAGTCAACCAACAAGGTATGTGCTAATATGTGCAAACTTTTTCCTAAATTAGTTTCTTTTTCAGTCTTTTTCTTGGTGCTTTTTCTGTAAATCCATGGATAAAGCTCCATATTTTAAATGTTTACAAAATGAAATATAACTTCAATTAGTACAAAATGCAAAGGCATCCGAGTTTAAAACAATTTTCCTATTTTAGCCTATTTTAAGGATTCTCCTCTGTATTTTGTATTTCATTTGTTACCAATTTTTTTTTCAAATATCAAAGCATCTCTCTACCCAAGACAATAATATTAGCAACTACTGTTGGCTAACTGCTTCTTACAAGACAGTTAAATAGGAAAGATACTAAAACAACAGCTAATGGGAACTATACCATAAAAATGTTTTCAAAGGCGATTTCAACTCAATATTAATTTCAACGTGGTGGTTATTTTGATTTTGAAGGCATTATAATTTAGATTTAGTTTAAAGATTTAGAGTTTAAGACTTTACATAATTAAGCATATTAATCATATTTCCACACACATACACACTTAAGATATGGCTCAAAAATCACAGCTGTAAGTCATTTTCAGGGTTTTCACCAAACTATTAACCTAATGTGACATCATTAAATTTACCATGACTCTGGCCCATTTTCAGACAGCATAAAAACCTAAATAGCATATTTAAAAAAAAAATTTACTAAGCAGAAGATGATTTTAATATAAAATTCTAGTAGATATGTAAAATCATATGGTCACCTTTGCTAGCTAATAAAGCTATTATTTAGGCTAGCTACTAAAGAATTTCTCTGAGAAAGACTTTTTTGTAGATGCTTATTTATGAGACAGCTGCCTAAAGATGCTCTGACATGGCAATACTTTCCTAAGGGAATACTCTAATGCCAGCTTGGCTCTGTTAACATCCCACCTTCGAAAACCTAAAACTGCCCTTAAAGCACTTATCACAGGAATACTTGTTTTACTCCCATTGTGACTGAAGCTCTTACTGAATTAGCCTTGTCCTTTCCCCACACTCTTGGTCAGCAGCACTTTTCATATCACAGGCATTAACTAAGTGTGTCTAAGTTTGTAGTGTCAGTGGAAATATTCAGCTCAGATGAACCTATGGATCTATAAAATCAACAATATTTATGTGCATTAATCCAAGAAAATTTTAGATAAACACTTTGATACTGTTTTTCATGTATCTTGCCATTAAGTCTAATGCTAATTGTTTGTTCCAATTTTACATCAATAATGAAGAATGTAAGCGATACAGTACATACTGAGGTAGAAAAGAAATCAGGGCCTCAAGGGCACAAGGGGTTAATATGCAACCTATGAAGCTATCCAAAGCCACTGCAGCATGAGTTCAATCCCCAGTGGCAAGGGAGCTACCCACATGGTACAGCAGACCTCTCCTGACTTGCCCGCTGCTCCTTTCAGCAGTGTACTTTGGTCAATCTGCCTGTTCTGTTCCCCACTCTGTGTCACCCCCCCCACCCCGTTCCTCTGGCCTGTACCCCAGTTCTTGTAAGTGTAAATAAATAAATCTTTAAAAAAAAGAAAAGGGCCTCCCCTGGTGGTGCAGCGGTTGAGCGCTGGGCTGTGAAGCTGCCCGCAGCCTCTGCAGCACCGGTTCACTCCCCAGCCGCTGGCGAGGGTCCCACATGGCGCGCAGACCTCTCCTGCCACCTGCTACTCCCCTCAGCAGTGTATTTCATCAGTCTGCCTGTTCTGTTCCCCGCTCTGGCTCTGGTGAACTCTTTCACCCTCCTGCGCTTCTGACTGTACCCAGTGCTTGTATAAATAATAATCTTTAAAAAAAATTAAAAAATTAAAAAAAGAAAAGAAAAGAAATCAACCTCAGTATAAACTGTGTTCAGCCGGGGCTGGGAGATGTAAATAAGAATTCACCGCATTTCTCATTTTATGTCTTAGTGTTAGCTTTTGTGAGGGAAATTGTTACTGTTCTTAAACATTTTCCCATGCTGCATTTGTCATTTTCTTCCGTTTCTGTCAAAGACTTTTTTCTGTTCTAGGTAGATGGTTTTCCCCAAAATAATTGTGATAAACTTATCTCTACCGCACTCATTCTGTAAGGATTCAGTCTCAGTTTCTTTTCATGGGCTGTTAGAGGTAACGCGAGAATATGGCAGTCACTGTCCCATGAAAGCATCTGCTCCAGCAGTGGTGTTTAAGGCAATGTAAGAAGTGTTGTCTGAAATCATTCAAGATTAGTCTGCCTATATGGACTGACTGACACAGCACTGTTTTATCATGATTCAAATTTCGAGAAGCAATGATTATTCTTAGTATTACTAACTGCCCTTTCTCTGGATATGTGTATTGGCCGTGTCTTTTAGGTATACCAGTAAGAGGAGAGCAAGGTGTTCCTGGTCCTCCAGGCCCCGCTGGACCTCGAGGGCACCCAGGTCCAACTGGACCACCCGGAAAACCAGGCTATGGAAGTCCTGGGCCCCAAGGAGAGCCAGGGTTGCCAGGACCACGGGGACCATCAGCCACTGGGAAGCCAGGTTCACCAGGAATACCAGGCAAACCAGGAGAGAGAGGACCATATGGACCAAAAGGAGATATTGGACCAGCTGGTTTACCCGGACCACGGGGCCCACCCGGGCCGCCTGGGATCCCCGGTCCAGCTGGAATTTCTGTTTCAGGAAAACCTGGACAACAGGGACCTACAGGAGCCCCAGGACCCAGAGGCTTTCCTGGAGAAAAGGGCACACCAGGAGTCCCTGGGCTGAGTGGGCAGAAAGGGGAAACAGGACTCGGTGCTCCTGGTCGCCCAGGTGAGAGGGGTCTTCCAGGTCCTCAGGGTCCTATGGGACCACCTGGCCCCCCTGGAATGGGAAAAAGAGGTGAAAATGGGTTTCCAGGACAGCCAGGTATCAAAGGTGATAGGGGCAGTCCAGGAGAAAGGGGACCAATTGGCCCACCAGGCCCCCAAGGTCCTCCTGGGGAAAGAGGACGAGAAGGCATAGGCAAGCAGGGAGCCCCTGGAGCCCCAGGCCAGCCAGGGGTTCCAGGAACAAAAGGTTATCCTGGGGCTCCAGGAGTTGCTGGGCCCCCAGGGGATCCTGGCTTTGGGAAACCAGGTTTGCCAGGCCAGAAGGGACAAAGAGGACCTGCTGGCCTTCCAGGTGGTCCAGGTGCCAAAGGGGAACAAGGCCCAGCAGGTCATCCTGGGGAGCCAGGTCTGACAGGGCCCCCTGGAAATATGGGACCACAAGGACCAAAAGGTATTCCTGGCAATCATGGGCTCCCCGGTTCTAAAGGTGTGACAGGGCCAGTTGGTCCTGCAGGACACCCTGGGGCTAAGGGAGAGAGGGGTCCTTCTGGGTTAGATGGAAAACCAGGGTACCCAGGAGAACCAGGTCTCACTGGTCCTAAGGGTAACCCAGGTTTGCCAGGCCCAAAAGGTGATCCTGGGATTGCAGGGCCTTCTGGTCTCCCAGGCCCTGTTGGTCCAGTAGGAGCTAAGGGAGTACCTGGACACATTGGTGAGGCTGGTCCAAGAGGAGCCCCAGGAATACCGGGTACCAGAGGCCCCATTGGGCCACCAGGCATTCCAGGATTCCCTGGATCTAAAGGGGATCCAGGACTTCCAGGTCCTCCTGGCCCAGCTGGCATAGCAACTAAGGGCCTCAGTGGACCTACTGGACCACCAGGGCCTCCAGGTCCCAGAGGCCACATTGGAGAACCAGGTCGCCCAGGGCCCCCAGGGCCTCCTGGGCCCCCAGGCCAAGCAGCTCTGCCTGACAGCTTTGTAAAGGCAGGTCAAAGGCCCAGTCTTTCTGGGATGCCTCTTGCTAGTGTCAACCAGGGTATAACAGGAATGCCTGTGTCTGCTTTCACTGTTATCCTCTCCAAAGCTTACCCAGCAATAGGTAGACCGATTCCATTTGATAAAATTTTGTATAACAGGCAACAGCACTATGACCCAAGAACTGGAATCTTTACCTGCAGGATACCAGGAATATACTATTTCTCCTACCATGTGCATGTGAAAGGGACCCATGTGTGGGTGGGCCTGTATAAGAATGGCAGCCCCATAATGTACACCTATGATGAATACAACAAAGGCTACCTGGACCAGGCTTCAGGGAGCGCCATAATCGAGCTCACAGAAAATGACCAGGTGTGGCTCCAGCTGCCCAATGATGAGTCCAATGGCCTGTATGCCTCAGAGTACGTCCACTCCTCGTTCTCAGGATTCTTAGTGGCTCCACTGTGAGCATATTTCCAATGAGCTAATATAAAAATCTGCTTGAAAAGTTATTCATCCCCCAATTCCATCCCACCCCACAAAATGCATATGGAGGTAGGCTGAAAAAATGTTGACTAATTTTTAACTTTTCCAAATACAGATTTGAGCGATCAGATCAACAAATGTCCCCCCTACTCTGAGAAAATGGGCAATAATGATAAGCAATATGTGAAAACCCTCTCAAATTTCTGGTCAGCAATCCTAGACTCTTCAAAGTTTTCTGTGAAGTCCTCTCATATCTAAAAGTCTCACCATAAAGGTCCTACTAATCTAAAAATATACAATGATCACACACAAAAAACCACCCCTGTAATGTGATGCCAAATAATGTTAAATTTGATTTCAGAAACTCAGCATTTCATTTCAAAATAAGCTTATTCTAACAGTTAACAGGAGAACTTCTAGGAAATATTCAGGAGGTATCACTTATCTTTACAGAACTTAAATACTTGAATATTCAAATTTAAAACACACTGTATACCCTAAGATATTTCTGATGGTGCATTACTCGAAGGCTTATATGGCCAACCTTCATGAAGATGACTCAAATATACAGGTGCACATAGATTTTTTTAGTTCTAAAAAACAAATATTACATTAAAATTAATCTGAAACACAGGGTGCTTTAGTCATGAACCTTTTCAAACATTTCTGTGATTGCAGAACAGCTTTCTATATACCCTTCCCAACTTGGAAATGGGTGTCTGACCTATTTTATTTATTTAATACAGTGTGATTCATTTAATTCCTTACTGAATCTTACACAATATGATTTTGTGGGTTTACAGAACATTAGACTACGTGCCGTGAGCCTCCCATTCCAGTGAAATTAAAACTAACATCAAGGGTTTTGAAATCTGACTAGAAATGACAAGACATTATTTATTTACGCTCTGTACTGTATTTTTATACTGCTCTTTAAAATTTTTAAGCTGTGCCTCACCTATCAAAGCATAAAATGTTTTACCTACTCCGTATTTACAATGCAGTAACATCAATAAAGTAACATCTATAGACTTTTATGCTGAATTTATTCGACAGCAACAATGTGTTAATCTCGATCATTCTCATAAGGTCTTTCATTTTACAAGGTTAATAAAAAATAAAATACTAAGGTGGTGGGTGCCTCTTATAGTTGCCACAGATGCTCCTTTCTATTGGAAACAGGTATTCCCACACACCCAGTTCCTTAGTCTAGACTGAAAAGGCACCTACAGAACCACAAGCGACCCCAGGCCAGGATGAAGGCTGGTGGCTGTGCATAAAAAACCTCAATAATCTTCCAATAACTCTCTCCTGGGAAGAAAAGAGGCAGGTGGCGGAGAAAGATGCAGTTTGAACAAATATTCTGCAGCTATTATTTAGTGCCTTGACAGGTTTCAGTCATATTTAGGGTTATTTTGATGGCTTAAATTACATTAAAAGGAAGGCAAATAATTTTATGTCAATCAAAAAGCAACTATTTTCTAAACTGAGAAACACTGCTCCTGAGCATCCATTAGGACTGATCAAGTCACTGGAGTAACTGACATAAGGGATTTCTCTTTAGTCCTTAGAAGTAACCCTATGCGACACAAGCAAACTCATGGATGGAACAGTGAAAATGTAGGTGCAGGTTTGCAATATCTTCCCCTTTCGGAGCCAGCCAGCTCTGTATTTATTTACTTTCTTTATATATACAAGCATTGGGTACAGTCAGAAGCACGGGAGGGTGAGAGAATTCACCAGAGTCAGAGCAGAGAGCAGAGCAGGCAGACTGATGAGGTTCACTGCTGAGGGGAGCAGTGGGCGGCAGGAGAGGTCTGCGCGCCATGTGAGACCCTCACCTGGTGGACGGGGATCGAGCCAGCACTGCAGAGGCTGCGGGCAGCTTCTCAAGCCATTGCTCAACCCCTGCGCCACTGGGGAGGCCCCCAGCTCTGTATTTAAGCAACGAGAATGCAACTTTCACTTTCTCCACCAGTCTACAACTACTACACTAATGGTTACAGGTGTCACAAATCCTCATTCCCAAGCCAGGGAAGAGCAAAGCTGGAATGTCAATGCTGGAAATTCACAAAACAACCTTACTGGCAGGCATGGGAAGGAGAGCAGAGTTCAGAATACGGGCAATTATCCATGAAACAGACACATAAGCTGCAACAACTTGAGAGTAAAATTTAAGATCAGATTAAATCCTAACTAAAAAACATAGCAAATAGTTAATTTCTGAGTAATTTACTAAATAGAAACCATTCAACAAACATCTATTAGAAAGTGTCTCTCCACATTACTCACCCTTAAAAGCTGACATTTTATAATTGTGTTGTATAGCAGCAATTATATCCTTCCAAAAATCAAATGTTTTTTGACCATTGTTCTGCTAAAAAAAAAAAAAGGAAAGAAATTCAAAATGTATATATGTAAAAATTCTGTTTTTAAGCATAGTAGAACATTGGGAAACAGATATGATATTACTGTATTCTAAAACAGGGACTTACATTTCAGAAAATATACTAATAAATGTCTCATTTTTCTAAAAATGATTTTAGAAAGAGAAATCTTCCATGACAACCATTTTTGCAGATAGCTACACATGATTTAATATAGCTTGTATATAAGCAAAGTAAAATAAAAATTCTCACTCAATATACAATAAGTCTAAATATTACAGAATATGTTACACATATAAGTTTATAATGCTATAGCTTCTGAGATAGCAGAACGTGTTACTTCATGTACTATGGCATCAACATGGCTAAGAAGCCTTAAAGCCATAAAGCCACCAAATTTTAGAATTCAGTGCAAATTTACCTGAATTTCGATATAAAAGAGCAACAAATCTCTACAGGACAAATGTAGGAAGTTTCAAATCCAAACTACAAATCATTTTAAGACTTTAAAAAAACATAAAGCAAATAACTATAATATTAAAACACACATTCCTACACTCATTGATTCTTTGGAAACATTAACCATTGTCCTTCTACTTAAACTAAGACCAGCTACTAGAATTTGTATCTAATTATACAAACTGACATATTTAAAGATTAAGAGATTTGCTGCAGTCACTGTGAAATGAGAAACTGACTTTTTTATATTAATGAACAATTTCTAAAAACATACCAGAAATATTTTTCAACAGTAGCTTTCACAAACACCATCAGAACTCTTATTAAAAAACCGTACTGCCTTCATTCTACTATAAACATGATCAATATGATTTTTAAAAGGTAACATATGCAAAAAGCTAGGTGATTCTGACACGATTGGTTCATGTCCATGGTCTTAAGTTCTATGTATAAACTGACAGAATCAGAGATCTATTTAATCTTGACATAGTACAAAGAAAAAAAATCCGTAAGCAATCAACTATGCTCAACATTAAAAATTTCATCTTGTTTTCCTGGTTTATATTATTTAGAATGCTTAAAGGCACATAGAATTGTGCTAGATACCTTTGCTTTTTAAAAATTCTAATGAAATGAGGTGTCTATGTTTTTGTTTGTTAGACTTTTGCACCCTCTGCTGGAGAGTAAATTTACTGTCCCTGGGGAGGATATGGTCAGGGCTGTTTTGACCAAGTATTTTGAGTATTTTGACCAAGTTCTCTGTCTTCCTCAGTTACCTCTAAAACCAGAAAGAGGAACCTGTAAAAAACCTCAACTCAAGAGATAGAGGTAACTAATTCCTCTAACTTATGACTAAATACATATCACAGTTACTAAAAACTGAGTTTCCACTCACCTTTGTTAAATAGTCCACCACTCTGGCGCATAGAAGGGCTCCTGGCAGATCGAAGTAGTTATCATAAAAATAATATTTTCCTACAAAAGAACAAAACTTTCCATTAGGGACAAATGAACGCTGCATGTATGTGGCAAACACAGAAAGTTGGTTGAAGAGACACACTAGATTTTGGTTTAGTTACTCAAAGGAGCCTCAATCTCAATTCAAGATGGTTCCATTACATGCCATCATTGTCTTTCAAAGAATGTTTAAGCTAGGAGGGGACAAGAAAGTTCAAATATTATATCCACAAATTAAGCATTATTTTTTACAGCATAAAAAGTCAAAATAGATAATCCCCCAAATATAAAATGGGTCATACAAAAGAGTACAAAAGATCATACAAACAGATGGTCTTGTTACTGATTTGTAAGCCCATCACCTGAAATTGCAGACAATGAACCATGCAGACTCTGTCATTCCCCTGTCTATTCAGAGCCCATCTGGAGTACTGCATTCAATTTTTATGTAATTTCAGACAAATAGGTGCGAACAACCAGGGTGATAAGAGGAGTAAAATAATCACAGCATGTGAGGACACAGTGTACTTATCTTAGAACTCAGGAGGACAGGATAGTCACGATCGGGGATCCAGAAAGGGGAGGATTTGATGTAGCCTGTTTGGCTTCAGGTAGAATAAAACTCAAGACCCTCCCAACACAGCTGTCACTTCTGAATCTGCTGTCCTTGTGCAGTCACCCCTGAAGTGGGTGACTGGCCCACATCTGTGTCCATTCAGCTCAACCACAACTGTGTCACTTGCCTTCTCTGGAAGCTTCTGGAGCCTACACAACAAGCCTTGGCCAAGAGTCAGGAGTCAGGGAAGGAATGGCCTCCTGTCCTTCCACTGACAACTCTGGAAGGTATTCCCTGTGCTTCTCAGAGTGCCAGTTTCAGTGATACTTTCCTTCCACGCCTCCCTCTACACTATCCCCGTCCTGCTTATGGGACCAGGAGCACCCCACTCTGCTCTGGGGGAACCGATGTCATAGGAGACTCAGCACAAAAAGAAATCAAACCACCAAGAGATGGAGCCAGATTTTAGTTTAATATATAGTTTAATATAAGAAAATACTTTCGGTGGCTGTAACTACTCTTGTACACAGAATAATTTACTGATTTTTGAGTCCCCCTTCCTCCCATTGGTGAGTTATCTATAATGTTATGGGTCACAGCCACCTTATTCCTCACAGTCTACTCTGCACTATGTCCAGCATATGTAGGACCTTCACAAATATCTGTGAATGAATGAGTTATCCAGAAACAGAGTGGATGCCTCTGGAAAGGAGGATCACAGGTGAATTAGGAGAAAACCCTCTGCAAGGGGCTGGTGGCTATTCTTTAAAAAAATGTCACTGATGTCCTTTGTTTCTTCCTGTCAAAGTGTTAAGAATGCTTAAGAAATAAAATTAAAGTTCTCCTTTTTTTTTTAAAGATTTATTTATTTATTCATGCATAGAAGAACTGGGGTACAGGCCAGAGGTGCGGGGGTGAGAGGACTCACCAGAGACAGAGTGGGGAACAGAACAGGCAGACTGACTGAAATACACTGCTGTGGGGAGCAGCAGGCGAGACAGGAGAGGTCTGCTGCGCCATGTGGGTAGCAACCTGGACGGCTGGGGATCAAGCTCGTGCTGCAGAGGTTGTGGACAGCTTCACAGTGCTGTGCTTAACTCCTGGAGCCACTAGGGAGGCCCCAAAGTTCTCCTGTTCATTCTGCTTGTGTTTGTGTATTCTTTCCTTCAGTTAAAAATATTCTGGTTGGCATGATTTTCCTGTTTTTTACTCTTTCACAGAAAATTGTTGGGGAACATCTCAGACTATTTTTCATTCCTATGAAAGGTTAGGATGGCTTTGCCAAGAATCTGGAGGGAAAGGGAGATTATGTCCATGGACATTCCTGCCCACATTCTGCTTTGTGAGACTACTAGTACCACAGGGCTCCAAGAACAGCAGGATGTGCAGAGTTTCCCAGGTTTCATTAAGCTGTATCCGTCTGATCTTTTGGATTGTGACAACAAAGTGGCCTCCCTGAATCTGACAGCCAGTCATCTGAGACACCTTGGGAGCAGGAGGTGTTTCATTATTGTTTTAGTATTGTTCACTATTATGAACCCATGCTTACACCCCCCGCCCCTTCTCCTTTGTGGACATTAATAGATGATATGCAGGTTAAGACTTGAAATACTGATTATGAGTCTTGGTTGGGGTCTAGTCACATAATTCAAGGAGTTAATGAGAAGGATTCACTAACTCCCACCCACAAGGCACGGTGTGGGCACAATGCCACTTATTCAGCCTGGACTTGTTAAGTGGACCAGGTTGCTCTTAATGCTGCTGCCAACACCAAAATTCCAAAACTGGGCCTCATAAAAGCTTCAACCCTCTTCCCTCCTACAGAGCAGAGAGCTCACTGGGAGTGAAGTGATTATTGAGTTCTACAATCATTAAGTTTTGCATATAGAAAAGGCATTTTCATTGCCAACACTACTCCTTTGCAAACTTAGTGACAGTGAAACAATGGCACATAAATGACTGCAGGGAAAAGAACTGATGTGAACATAAGTTCTCCATCCTCTACAGAGAAGTGGAATTATCTCCATTTAAAGGTGAGGAAACTGACATTAAGCATGGCTTAATTAAGCATGGCTTAATTTACCAGTTACTTTATGCTGCAAGTAACATAGTCAGTATAATTCCAGAGTAAGTGGCTCTGAGCCCCTCGTGAGTTCCACAAAACCTTGTTGTTTCTGCATAATTTATCAGGTCTGGGGGGAAAAAAAAAATCAAAAGAACTTGCTGTCTGGAAACTGGCTGGTAAGGAAAACAATACTCACGCCAGGTCAACAACTTGAATAGGCACTACTAATTACAATTTTAAACCTGCATATCCTTAGAAGAATAGTACTTTTGGGAATTGATCTTGGACACATTTACAAAAGTACAAAATACACATTTATGAAATATCGCTGTAGGCTTATTTGTATCGGTCAAACATCAGACACAATATAAATGCCCATCATCAGGGGACTGATTAAATAAATCATGCCATGGGCACCTGACAGCAAAGCACACCAGCATTTAAAAGACTGAGAAGGGTCTCCCTGGTGGTGCAAGGGGTTAAGAAGCAATCTATGAAGCTATCCGTAGCTGCTGCAGCATGAGTTTGATCCCCGGCTAGGGAGCAACGCACATGGCGCAGCAGACCTCTCCTGACTCACCGGCTGCTCCCCTCAGCAGCGGGTGCTGCTCCCCTTGGTCAGTCTGCCTGTTCTGTTCCCCACTCTGTCTCTGGTGAATCCTTTCACCACCCACACCTCTGGCCTGTACCCCAGTTCTTGCATGCATAAATAAATGAATCTTTAAAAAAAAAAAAAAGACTGAGGACACCTGTGTGTGTGCTCATAGACAATCTCTGAGGTGTAAACTGAAAAGAACAAAGTACGGAAAATGATCCCTTTTGTATAATTTTTAAAAATAAGCTTTGGAGAAAAGGGATTCTAAAGTATAAAGATTTGAGATGATTCATTTTATTCCTTTCTGTAATATTTAAATTTCCTAACTTCATGCTCACATTATTGCTCTTAATATAAACCAAGTTTACTAAATTGTGGAATCAGGCATTTTTTTTCTTCTTTTACACTTTTCTACCTTAAAAAAAAAAAAAAACACAATTTTTAAAAAGGTATTGGCCTGGGCCTCCCCTGTTGGCGCAGTGGTTGAACGCTGGGCTGCGAGACTGCCCGCAGCCTCCAGAGCGCAGGTTCATTCCCCAGCTGCTGGCGAGGGTCCCCCCGCTCCACCCCCAAAAAAAGGGCATTGGCCTTCCTGATTATTCCGCAGAAACAACAGGCTTCTATTATGTATCAGAGCCTGACCACCGGGCACCTGGATGGGAAACACTTCCCTAACCAACACAATTAAAGGCAGATAACTCCAAGGCCATTCTCAGAGCACTCCTGGGTAATTTAAGCTGATGCAAACAGTGGATGCAGGCGACAGCGCCCTCGTGTGGGAAGAGCAGTGAGCACACAGGGGTCATATTGGGTGAATGAATGCTCTTTTCCTGACTGGGAAATACTTACTTCTTAATTCTGGATTTCTGAATACATGTCATGGAAACACTTAGCTATGTGCTTAGTTCCGCTAGAAGAATGGAGGTGCTTATTTATAATTGCCTGCATCTGGAGAGACAACAGCAGTCTCTATCATCACTTTTGTGAAAGACTAGCTATTTTGAGCTGAGATGTGTGAAAGCATTCCACAGCTAAGCCCAAGGTGAAATCTGTTTTTTCTTTCAACTTACTTTATTAAGAACACTCATACTTCCTGAAATTTTCATTTCCTGACAACACACACACACACACATACACACAAACTGCAAATTAGATAAGAAACTAAGCACAATAATAACAACGAACAAGGCCAGGTTACTACATTTTCTAAAGCAGAATAGGTCCATTTCAAAATTACAGTGTGGGGGAAATGGCCAGAAAAAATGAGAACGAATCAAAAACAATTATGAATTTTAATAAAGTCTGTTTCTAATAGTGCTTTTAGTTATTCCCTATCAATTGATGCACATGTATGTCTGTAAATAATTTTTGAAAAATGCTTTCATGTTTACCCAAGGCAAAGCTGCTTAAAGAAAATGGGAAAAATTGTGCAAAATCATTTAAAATACAGGTGTAGGGTAGGGAAAAATGTCAGGCTTTTCTGCCCTCTTGCCATCAGGATAGATGATGGATCCTTGCGGTCCTGAATGCATGCCTGATGGCAGGCACCTGGAGTAGGGTGTGGGCATAGGTAGATGGGATTCACCTGGGCTAAGATTGCTTTTCTAAGGGCGGCGTCATGGGGACGCCAGTAGCAGCAGCAGAAGCCAAAAGAGAAGAAGCCCGAAGCAGAAGCAGAGAACGCCAGAGAGCCCAGACAGAGTGAAGATTTGCTGGGGGCTGGGAGGACTGCCAGCCTCCCAGCCCCCCAGCACCCCTGCCTGCCACGTACCCACTGAACCCCAATAAAAACCTGCAAAACCACTAAGGAATCTGACTCCTCCTTTACCCGGTCTGCCTGGGATCAGAAAACCTGCACTGTGTCCTGTTCCTGACCTTATAACAGGAAATTAAAAGACAAAGACAGAAGATACTAGCTCTAGAAAACAGCAGAACCTGAGTGACATGAATATAGAGTGAAATGGGGGAAGGAGAAATAAAAGGATTAAGCATGTCACAATTCATAGAGAAAAGAGATAAGGAACATTTTATACCTAAGCACTTGCCTGATTTACTGCAGAACAAATGCAAGTTAAAGTATCAACAAAACCTTAAATAAAAAGAACTAACTTCCAAAGAGAAATCAGACAAATGGCGGGGAAAGTCCTATTCCTCTAGTACCACATCTGCTCCCTTGTGGGTCCTGCCCAGTACGAGGCAAAGAAGGTCTCAGGGCCCTCGCTTCGAAGTTCAGGGTTCAAAACAAAAGGGGAGCCAGTGGAGGCGGTGGCCCACACGAGCCATACCTGATCGGGAAGCCGTCTCTGTGTCCATCATGAAGTGCTTCCACTCCTTGCTGCCATACTCCTCTGCCAGCGCCTGCGCAGCCACCATCTTTGTGCCACGGCTTGCCCTGCAGAGGAAAGGGAAGGCACACTGCTCATCAGTGGCTCCTCTGAACGCTCTTCCTCCAGCACTGCTCTTATTGCCCTGCTGCAGTTAACCAATTTTTGTCTTTTGTTTTCAGCTGGGTGAGTAGTTCCCTGCTAGGATCCTAAGAGGCATGTCCCCTGACAGCTCTAGCTTTTCCTCCATTTCATCTACCAAATGACTGGAGCAACTCACACAGCAGTACTTGCTCTGCACCTATGATATGTAAATTATGAACTATAACTACAATGGAAGAAATAAGAGATACCAGCCTCCATTTCACTGTGAAGGTAAGAGTGACCTAACTGGAATGGTTAGAAAACGATGACCTTCCTGGAAGGGTGGGAGGATGTGTGATCTGCGAGCCCACAGATGCTGTGCAGGGGCCTCACACCCAGGCTCCTTGAGCACAGGGGACAGAGAGACAAGACAGGGGAGCAGCAGTCCTCGCAAGGGGTCAGCTACTTGACAGTGTTGCTCAAAACACAATAGGCAACAGCTATGATTAGAACACAACAAGAAAGTAGCTGTTTTCTGTGTTAAATTCTGCTTTTGCATCAGTTGGGCGTGGTTAAGGAAATCTTACCCTGTGAAGAAGCAGTTTGTATTTTTATAGTTTCTTACGAGAAATTATAGGACTAGGGAAGATTATTTGTCTCAGTTATAGTAGCAAAGCAAAAGGAAGGGAAGAAAATGAAGTAAGGGCAAATGTGGGAGGGGATCATATACACGCTCTTTTTAATAAAGATGAATGTTGTAGAAAGCTCTATGTAAAGATGGAGGAATCTTGAGTGGGAAATGTGACCAGACAAGGAATCTACCACAGTGGTGAAAGCAGGCACGAAGGCAGTTAAGTCATAAACACAGGAGAAACTGCAGGTTGGGCAGACAGAACTAGAATGGAGAGCAGCAGATCATGGGCATGGGTGCACAGAGCAGAGGGACTGATAGACAGGCATAAACATAAAGGAAAAAAGTACAACTGGACTGCCATTCATTCTTTTTTTTTTAATTTTTATACAAGAACCGGGGTACAGGCCAGATGCACAGAAGGATGAGAGGATTCACCAGAGACAGAGCGGGGATCAGAACAGGCAGATTGATGAAATACACTGCTGAGGGGAGCAGCGGGTGCGACAGAAGAGGTCTGCTGTGCCATGTGGGACCCTCACTGGCCAACCGGGATCGAACCGGCGCTAGGGAGGCTGTGGACAGCTTCACAGCGCGGTGCTCAACCGCCTGCGCCACCAGGGGAGGCCCCTGCCATTCATTCTTTTAACCATGATGGAGGACAGTGAAGTACACTAAAATATGACAATAAAGTTAAACGTCACAGTGTGCATGTACATATACAAACATACACTATTTTTGTTGCCAAGGAAAAAAACATGCAAATGAATAGCAAAAGAGTCAGATTGTGATGGGGCCACATCTGCTCTGGTTAGCTGCCCCCTTAGGGGAAGGTCTGTGGGGAAGAGTGTGAGTTTGGTGTAAAAGGGGCAGCCTTTTTTGGTGTAAAAGAGACACCCTGTGCTGAGCACCCTCTCCTTGGACTCTGCCGGCTGTATAAATAATAAGTGGCACAGTTGCACAGCCAGGCTGACCTGCCTTACGATCAGTGCTGGGGGAATATAGATGCTGACTATATGGTGCTCTCTGAAAGAAGCAGAGATGTAAGACCTTTAAGATGCTGTGATGTCAGCTGCTTCTGGATTGCTGGCCCTGCCCTTACCAAACTCACCAACACTCCCTGCTCTCCCTGAGGGCAGGGAGGCACAGAGTGCAGGAGTTGAGGAGAGACTAAGGCTGAACAGCTTAGAAAAACTGCAAGAGGAGTTGAGATATGACATGAGTCCTGTATGATGGGGGGCATTTGGATAAATGGAGGAAGAGAGGTGTGCAGACCATGAACTCCTCCCCAATATCCATTGTCTCCTTCCTTCATAAAAAGAATTCTGATTTTCTTCCAGGCACCTGAAAACCCACCCAACACAATATAATTCCCACAACTTTTGCAGTGGGAACTGTCAAGGAGATGAAGCATGTCAAGAACAGTCAAGAAGAACATTCTATTGTATTTCTTGCAAATATTTCTGATGAGCTAAATTTAAAGGAACTACATCTTTCGGTCTAATGCTTCCAGATTTGCATTTAAATTGTTCAAACAATTCATACTAAAGACGTACAGGCACACAGATATACTATCTTCTGGCTGGCTAAAATAATTTTCTTATTTAGCCCATCCCTTAATGATCAAATGCTATATAATAAGGGTTCTAAAAGAGTAAAGTTTTAAGTTCACAACTAAATATTATTACCTGAGCACAGTGCCATTATCTGCAAGTTTAATGAAGCTCCCATCTTCCAGATCCAATGCCAGGCCCTTGCAACTAAAATAGAAATATCTGATTAGCAACCAACTCATGTATTTGACTAACCCAAGAAATTATAACCTATATCTTTAAAAACTCATAATGCCAAAAAGGATTTTCCCCATGCAAGTGAATGCTGTTATTAATCAAACAAATGAGAATAACCAAGAGTTCTAGAATAAATATCATGCACAGAACAAGTATATAAAGAAAACTGTTATGTGGGCAAATGAAGAAGAGCATGTTTAGTTTGCAAAACCCTTAAGCTTTTAAACAGAAGAATTAAAACCTCAAAGAGAACAAAAAATAAACATTACGTATGTCTGTCAAAATGTGCAAATGTTTCCTTTAAATATAACAAATGCACATTTATATTCTGCAAAGTAAGCTCTTAGAGTCTCTTCTATAGAATGTACCTTAATTTAGGTGAGGCTATAACAACTTAGCCGCTGGGTAACATATATTATTGAAAACCACTAAAAGAAAGTCAAATACTAAGTTTTGGGCATCATCACTATAAAATACTTGTGGGATTTGAAGAGAAAAATGGGTATAGAATCATTATTATGAATAATAAAGCAAGGCGGTATAATGGCCCTAAAATACCGAGAGAATAAACAAAAAGTGACAGGGTACTTTAGAAACACTATTTACTTTGCTCCACAAAAAAAATTTCTAGTCAGCGGTTTCACAGAATAAAATGTTTCTGTTCCTTTTACAAAAGGACCAATTCAGAAAACAAACACAGGAGGAAATGTATAATAGATGAACGTCACTGCTCTAGAATTACTTCTGCATGTATTTTTCATGTATTTTAGGATTAAAGTAATTTTTAACTGAGCAATTTAAAGTGGTTTAGGAGGATCTTTCTTTGTTCTGAGTGCTCAAATGAGGAAAAAAGACAAAAGACAACTCCTTGGGGAGTTGAGAATGGAGGCAGCGGGTAAGCACTAAGAGACTTAGCCCAAGGAAGGTCCATCCAAATTACAGAAAACCAAATGTCTTAATTTGGACATTTATTCAACACATGAGCATTTCTCCTCCACGCCTTCAGTTCTTATGTAAAAGGCAATAAAGCAATTGTTTTTAAAGATGTAAATGTTAGAGATAATTCCTAATATTTGAAAATCTTAATAACCACACACTTAATCCACACAAAAATATCCAAATTAGACACATCTGCTCTTAATTTATGTTCATAATCAAGCAAGTTTAAACTTAAAAGTAGAAAATAAATCCATTAAACATAAAAACTTTCAGTATAGAAAGCATTTCTGTTCCTTCACTCAATTTTGCCTTTCACTTTCTGCGAGAAATTTTGCCTTTCACTTTCTGCCTCTATAGAAGAGGAAATATTAAAATTTTATCAGTAATAATTAAGAATGAGAAGTATGCAGACCTTAAAGAACCTACCAGAAATCCCAATCCTCTGGAGTCACAGTAAGCAATTCCTTGTCATACCCCTTCTCCTTGACCAGGAACTGGGCAAAGCTATTATAAACGAGCTATAAACAAGGGGAAGGAAAAAACAAAGGTTAACTATAAAAAAACAGAGGTTAACTATAAAATTCACTACTCATTCTTAATTTCACAGACCTGAAAACCTAATGGAATCACTGATGGGGAGTGGAAAGAAGGTATCTGTAATTGCTAAAAGTCTGCAATTTAATCCTCTTTCACAAGCAATTCATCCATTCCTGCAAACCCCCAAGAAGCTATTATATTTTTTGATACTCCAAAATTATATCATCACTATAAAATTTTACAACCAAGGACAACTACCAATCTTACTCCTGAATTCTAATGTGCTGGAGATCATTAAGGCTTGATAAAGCTTTGTAAACAAATTTAATACATTACTAAAACAACATATTGGCAACTCTATCATTACACCCATTCTTTGTCAAAAGGCACTATCGCAGGAAATAAATTCTTAGATTGTGGCCCAAAAACGGAGGCCACTCCAGTTGTTTGGTCAACATCTCCGATGTAAACCTAGGTCAGTCTGCACTTATGGGAAACACCTATGAGGAAACCTCACTCCAATAACAATCCTCCAGCTCAGTTTTAGCTCCCTCTTAAAACTCAGGATCTGCCAGCTTTATAAAGAAACCCCGACCTCCTAGCCAACCATGCCCTGTTTCCTCATTGCCTCTTCTAATGCCCCATAAAATGCACACGTGCCCAACATCTCTTGGGAAGAGCGCTCCACTGCTTGTGAGGCACTGTACTCCCCAATCCAGGAATTGTTTTCCTTGGAATAAAGAACATCAAACTCCACTACTTTAGTTTTGTCATTGGAAAGAGGGGGGTTTCAGGGAAATCCACATGGAAATCCACAGGTGGTCGATGAAAAGGAGAAATCGTGGAGCCTCCACCAAATATGGGAAATCTCTTATTTTTCTACCATATGAAAAATATAGGAAAAAGAACAGAAAAGCTTCTGGAAACAAGCACAAAGATGAATGCTCTGCTGATATCAACAGATCTTCTAATTTCTCAACAGCAAAAACTCAGATTTTTGAGTAAAATATCTTTTTTTTAAAGAGCTGGTTCAATTTTTAAATAATGGTACATAACAAACAAGTGGGCTAAAGATGATGAAGATCTATATTGGCCCTATGCACTTCTCCATCAGAAGAGTGTTCTTGGGCCAGCATTAGATGCACTTAGACCTGAGGGAGGACAGTGGTCTGGGATTAGACTGACAGTGTCCAAGAAGAAGACACAATGAACCACCTGATCCTTATTCTGGAGATGCTGACCCATGAGGTGTTGATAGAATGGGACGCTGAATGGGGGGAGAGGGTAAAGACACAGAAAATAGAGTGGGAGAATGTGGTGATATTTCCACAGATACCTGTAAGATCTAGCAGTTAGTTAGATGAGTAGGGTGGGAGGCCCAGGTCCAGAAGCCCAATATAAGTTGGGCTGTCACAGGAGATGAGTGTGGAGAAAGCAAAGGTTTTGTCAGTTAGAGCTGTTCTCTGCTGTTAATTAAAACGAATCTACATGTACTCCCATGCAATACAACGTGACCTGCATCCAGGTCAATTGTTAATAGATGCACATTATACCATCACTATATAGCAACATTTCTCAACCCTTGCAGTGATTTAGAACCACAGATAGTCCTCAAGCCACCTGGGAATTCCAAGCCGACAGGACCAGGAGAAGACCAGGTGAGGAACCAGATGATTTCTGAAGTACAGAGATGCCTTATGTTATATGGGTGTTTACTCAATCACAAAAAAAACCCCAATAGAAAAGGTAGTAGTCACGTTGACATACAAAGTGCTACAAACAATAAAAACTCATTGTGATCCGCCTGAAAGGAACCTGTGCCTTGAGAATAACAGATAAAAAGAATTTAGAGCAGGGCCCAATGAAGTAGGAACTCAATTTAAGTAGTGCCTATTATTATTAGTTCTGTGATGATTAAAAAAAATGGCCCTGACTTGTAGCTTTTGCCCATTTCCATGGTATAAATACTCCCACCAAGGCCAGCTTCACATTGTCAGTGGTTACTGGACACTATCAGACTTGCCACTGGTTGAGGTAGTTTATTTGGTCTGAGCAAACCGGAGTGTCTCATCACTTGGCAACACTGATAAAGACACGGGCATGTGGTTCCAATGAAGTCAGATTCCTTCCCGAAGAGAAAGGAGCTGGCAACAGGGCATCCGCCCTGTGTTCCTCACCCGGAGAAGCCGCTTTTGTGTTTGGAGGGAATGAGGCCAATATGCATGGAGAAGGGGAGATCCGCAGTGCTAAGAAAAGGCACAGAACCCCTGTTCTGGCCCCAAGTTCTTGGAACTTTGCCTTAGATTGTTAAGTCACCCCAGAGGCCTTCATAACACCCTACTTCTATGTCCAGCCTCTTCCTTCCTAATCTTAGTCACCATTTACTTTCTCACAGGGCTAACAGTAACACACTCTATGGCAGTTGCAAATTGGTACCCTGTGGGTACCACAACTTATGTATGGTTCACACCCAGAGTTGCCAGTTATAATGCGAAATGTTGGGATTTACAGGATTAAAGTCAGTTTCTTCCTAGCCCGGCACACAGGGATGGGAGGCTCTGAATAGATAAGGGGAACTGAAGAATTACCCTGGGAACCTGACCCTGAGACCTTGGGCAGATAAAGGAAAGCAAAGGACCAGTGACACAGGTCATATGGCCCGCCTGCAACAATTAAAGGCTGATGCAAATTCTAAAGGATTGCAGGGACTAATTACTTTGATAGCAGTTAGTACAGACCAGCATCTTAGAGAGTCTACAAACTCAGAGTACAAGAAAGAGCCAAACTTTTCTTTCAGTGGCCAGATGCACATTATCATCTTGCCTCCACTTCTCCCTAAATAATTCAATAAGGGGCCTCCCTGGTGGCACAGGTGGTTGAGCGCAGCGCTGTGAAGCTGTCCACAGCCTCTGTAGCACGGGTTTGAGCCTGGCCAGCCGGGGAGATCACATGGCGTGGCAGACCTCTCCTGTCTTGCCCTCAGCAGTGTGCTGCTCCCCTCAGCAGTGTGTTTCAGTCAGTCTGCCTGTTCTGTTCCCCGCTCTGTCTCTGGTGGATCCTCTCACCCTCCCACACATCTGACCTATACCCCAGTTCTTGTATGCATGAATAAATAAATCATTTAAAAAAATAATTCAATAAATCCACCTTTTCTACCCTCCATACTGTTTCTGATGAATTCTTTCACCACCCTCCCTCTCCCCCATTCTGGTGTCCCCTCATGGCCCGCTATCTCCCTCACACAATATTTGTACATACCTGCACTAAAAATGAAGTTCAAATTTAACTGGGTGTCCTACATTTTTCTTTGCTAAATCTGGCTATAATTTTGTTGTTGTTGTCTTGCTAAATCTTTGCTATCATCCTGCTGTTTAAAAATGAGCTAACATTTAAAAACTAAGACAAAAAAAATAAAAACTAAGACACTTCTCATACAAACTTTGATTTCTGACTTTTCTTATTAAGAATTCTAAAGAAAGACTGAGTCTCTCCCTCTCATGCCAAATGCTGGCAAGAGCCCAGTGTGGCTGGGTTTCAGAGCCTGGCTGCCCCAGATCCTCTCCCTCTCACAAGTTTAACTTAACTGCCTGGCACCAAAGACTTCTGAGTATGCAACCCAGGAGAGTACAGGGGTCATCATGTCTAGAATGCCTTTCCTGACCACGACTGCCTTACCCTCCACATCAGCTGACACATCCAGTTCCATGTTTGCACAAAACTCTACACTTATTAAATGCCCACAAGCCTGAAGTGAGAGGTACTCACGGCCCTCCATGATGCACCCGCCATTAACCTTTCCAGCATCTTGCACAGCACTCTACCTCCTGCTTGATCCCCGGCAGGGCCTGGTGCTGCTGCTCACCTCTCTGTCCAGGCCCTGGTTCTATTTCTCTGTCTAAAATGCTGCTTTCTATCTCCTCACCTGCTGACCGTGACCCTTCTGTTGAGCCCCAGCTCAAGCATCACTGATGCCAGGATTCTTCTCCTCTGCGCTTGGCAGCATCACCCAAAGCTTGGCGGTGGGGGGCAGAAACCTGACAGCCAGACCACCCTGCTGGGTGACCCGTTTTGTGCCTCTCTGTCCTTATCTCAAAATTGGGATTGTGGTGACAATAACATCTACCTTACAAGGTTATTCTAAGAAACAAGTCAGTTCATAAGCAAAATGCTGTGCTATATATTCAGTTATTAAAATATCTATTATCCAATCATCCCAGTTAGTTATTAAACCCAATATGTATTAAGCACTCAGCTCTGCATACAGCATGCACAATAAATTTCAGGTAACAAATGTCAAGGAATCATGGTTCTAGGGAAATTCTCCAATAAGTAAACAGGAAATGTGAAACCTAATGTTAAGTGCTATGAAAAACTCAAGAGTTTTATGGGAAACTGGAGGTGGGATGAAGGCAGAAGGATAAACTCCAGGAGGGGAGAAGGGCTTCCCAAAGGGAACACTATGCAAGATGAGACCTGAAAGATGAGGGATTAGCATGAAGGGAGGAGGTCTGCAGGCAAGGTGGCCCTCACCCCAGGGGACTGACACACTTTTCAGGCATCATTGCCATCACAAGGCCACTGAAAGGCTAGTGTGTTAATCTCTATCCCAACAACACTACCATGGTGCTCAATAAGATGCTGGTCCTTAATAAAAGATTTCAGAACCAAACAGGATCCAAAACGCACTGGATAAGTTTTCAACCTTTAAACATCATTTACATTTGAGGCTTGAAGTAAAGAACCCCAGGGGCTTATATTCTGAAGTGTTGTGCTCACACATGCAAAAAATGGGCTCTAACATGACAGGGACCTTAACAATATTTTCTCTAAATGAAGGTGACTAGAGAGGAGATACAAGAAAACATGAGCCAAGAGCGGGCTTGAAAGGCACTAAGCAAAATACAAAACTAAAACCTAGAGGAGCTAGTGGCCAAAAGACAAAAAGTAAATCCTTCAGAACTTTCAATATGACTAAGGAAACATCGATAGGGTAGTAAGACAGAAAAGTACAATAGCAGGAAGAGGACCCCCCATCTTTAGCGCCTTTGCAGAAAAAACACTCACGAATAAATTCAGACCCTGTTTTCACCTTTGACAGGTATCAGAACTGCAGATCCGGGCACTGATCTCAACAAAATCAGGAGCAGCCTTGGCTGATGTTTGGGGATTTAGAGCTCTACCCATAAATGGAGACACTCTGAAAGCAATGGACAGTGACCACACATGCAGACTTCCACGCCAGGCATTATACATCTACTACCCATTTATTCCTTGCAACAACCTTTAAAGGTAAATCCAATTATTAGCCCCATTTTCCAGATGGGAACACTTAGACTAGACACAGATTCAGTACCCTGCCCAAAGTGACAGAGCTAGTAACAGCAGTGCCCTAAACTGGGCAGCCAGTTTGCAGAGTCCTCTTAACCAGTTTTCTCTGCGTGGATGCCTAGCTCTTTGGCTAAAAAATTTTGTGAACTTTTCAATATCCTTGTGAAACCAAAGTAATGGGGACGGAAGTACAATTCGCTTGAGAATACAGGTGTGCAATCCTACACGCTCCACGCTCCCCTCCCTCTCAAAGAGAAGCCGCGAGGACCCAAACTTGGCAGGCTGTCAGGTTCAGGATCTACTCAATGGACATAGAGCATTTAATCGTACTCAGTAAATGTCTATTTCGTTCTCTTGGTAAAATACAAAATCAGGGATAAGATCGTCGTGACTCTTCCAATATTCTTCCCAACGCATCACACAATCTCTCTGACTACAACGCGATGTTGAACATCCGACAGGTGGTCGCACGGACGAGCAAAAGGAATTACGCAGCCAAGTCAGTTACAAGCCCCTAACCAGGTGGCGGTTCAGGGTGGGGGGCTGGGGTGGGGTGGGGGGCTGATGCATGGAGACTTGCTGAGAAGTTCCAAGGCCGGGGATCTGCAGAGGATACCCCCAGATCCCGTGGCCCCGCCCACCCCTCCTCTGCACTAGGAACCGGTTCCCAGCCCGATCTGGCATCTTGCACCATCAGTCCCTCCTTCGCCCCTTTTCTTTCCAACCCTTCACCTCCACCTGGCTCCTGGCTGGGCTCCCACGTCGCGGGGGGCGGCAGGGGGCACTCTTCCGCGTCTCCCCGCGCCCGGAGGCCGAGCCCCGCGCAGAGGCGAGGCGACTGCAGGGCCCCGGCCGCCCCCGGCCGCGCTCGCCCCGCCACGGCCGGAAGGAAACTCCAGCCCCGGCCGCCATGGAGTCCGCGCGCCCTGCGAGCCAGGCAGCCCGCGCCACTCACCCGGGCGCTCTCGGGCAGGTTGTAGCGACACAGAGTGTGGTCCAGGTCGAAGCCGACCACGTCGCAGGCGGCCAGGGAGAAGTGCTGAGCCATGGCCGCGCCGGAGCCCACACAAGCGCTCCGCGCGGGGAGCGTGCGAGCGGCGCGCGCGCGGGACAGTACGGAAGGACCCGACCCAATGGGGCCGGCAGGGCGGGGCGGGGCGGGGCGGGGCGGGGCGGGGCGGTGCTGCGGCCGCCCCCGGGGGTGCGTGACGGCGGCGGCCCTCTGGCCTCCTGCGCCCGCCAGCGCCGCCCCTGGCCACGCGTCTCCGCGGCCCGCGCGCGCCGCCCCGCGCACGCCGCCCCAGGCCCCTCCTGCGCACGCCGCTCCCGCGCGCCGCCCCCGGCGGCCCCCACCTTCTCCACCCCGCGCCCAGAAGGCGGGAGGTGACCCCGCGCCCCGCCCTCGTTGCGGGAACTCGGGGCGCAGGGGGCCCGGTTGGCACGCGGTGATTGCCACTAGGTGAACCGGAGCTCGTCTTAGCTTTCCAGGCGCCACAGAAACCAGGACCTGACCCTTTACTCTCATGTGCGGAATAGTGAAGATTATGGAGAAAATTTCATTCATAGTATCTCTCTGACCCATTGAGTTTAGAATTCGGTTCTGTGATGTCTGGCCATGGACTGAATCAAAAATGTTATATACCATAGTTTCCTAAGTTGTCAAATAAATGGAAGAGCTTTCACCATTTCACCCCCTGAAGCTCTTGAAAAAAATTTTTTTTGATGTAATCAAGGACCTTTTGCAAAATGACACTGATTGGTTATTTTGTTATTTATAATTTTTGTACGGAATATTTTCTATAAAAAGACACCAGAAACTTGATAGAATATGCATTTTAGATGCATATTTGAGAATAGTTAATTCGTTACATACAATGGATGCTTAGGATGTTTCATTTCCTGAAACTTCTCCTGGATATGAAGGGCTAGGACTTTGATATATTTAAAATCATAATACAAATCTTATAAAGAAGAGTATATATATATATATATATATAGACTTTAAATCTTTGTACTGCTTCTGTTTTGCCCAATGGGGAAAAAATCAATAGTTTATGCTATAATGAAAATATAATTGATTGAGAATTACATTTAATCCTTACAAATACCAACATACTGACTCTTATGAGGCTGATATATCAATCAAGGGATTAATTTAGTGCAATAAATAGCTCAATCTGATAGGACACTTATTATACCTAGTGGACTCATTTAAATAAATTGATAACTTGTTCCATTATAACTCTTAAAAGCCCCAAACAAATCTCTCTGGAATAGGAACCGAAATGGATTCTCAAAAAGATCAAGCTGTTATTTAGTAAGAACTACCAACCATGGTTGTAATGTCTGTGAATCAGAAGATAAAGATAAGGGCATCCCAGCAGGCCCTTGATCCAGTAGGCCTTGATCCAGACAGAGATGCACACGCCCAGAGGAAGGTCCATGTGAGGATACTGGGAGAAGGTGCTTTTTGCAAGAGGGACTTCATGGAAACCAACTCTACCTGCACCTTGATCTTAGATTTCCAGCTTTCAGAATTGTGAAGAAAATCCTTTTCTGTTGTTCAAGCCCCCCAGTCTATGGTAGTCTGTTCATGTAGCCAGAGCAGACTAACACAGCCTGAAAGAGATATGACCTTAATCAATGTACCATCAAACATACTAGATCATACTTGTCATTTGAAAGATCTGTAAATGACATTAATTTAGGCTGAAATTATTGTTTTTTAATTTTGGTACTTTCACTTGTGCATAATGTTAATGCCATGTCTTGAAAGTTGAGGATGATTTTCATTATCCCATGTACTGAGTTTTTGCTTCTAACCAGGTAGTTATAAAATCATTTTAAAATGCTCAGAAATAGGAAGTTAGGATGTTTATTGCTGACTTTCTAGAATTGAATTTCATCATTACAACTGATCTACCTTTTAATAAAGATAACACTATAGCAACTTTTACCTTAGGTATACCTTTTATTTTTCTTTTAACCTGCATTTAATTTTGTGACCAACTAGCTTGAGTTGTTTTTATTGGTGTGATTGCTAATTGTTGGTTTACATTGTTGTTCATATTTGGGAGTATAAGATCCCCACTTCAGGTGTTATTAAGTGTTATCAGGTATTCGTGCAACCACCACCAAAGCTCCTGGGGCTTCCTCTCCAGTCCATTGTGCTTCCTCTCCACTTGTTCCTCCCTCACTCCCTTCTCCTCGCTGATCTCCTCGGTTCTAGAGTCAGCTTTCAAGGGTAGTTTCAAGTTTGGTTTTATTTGAACTTTTGTTTGTTTCTTTAATATTCCACCTATAAGATACCCATCCAGTATTACTTTCTCCTTCTGACTTATTTCTGCTTATCATAATCCCTTTCAAGTCCATCCACGTTACCACAAAAGGCATGAAGTTGGGTTTTTTGATCACCAAGTAATATTCCAATGTGTATAAATACTGCATCTTCTTTATCTACTCTGTTTTGGGGCATTTAGGTTGTTGCTTCTGTAGTTTGGCTATTGTCAATAGCTTTTATGAACAGGGGAGTGCCAGTTTCCTTTTGAATTAGTGTATTTATCTTCTTTGGGTAGATACCCAGGAATGGAATTGCTGGGTTATACGGTATATTCATCTTTAATCTTTTTTTTTTGCATTCAGAAATTTATTTTTTATTTATTTATTTTTTAATTTTTTACATCATTGTTCATTTTAAAACAATATTTGCTTCCCCCTACCCCCTCAGGTCTAGTCCCCATAGAATTTCCTTCACCAGTGCACCATGCACCATCACCACAGTCACTTGTGCTCCTCCCTCCCTCTCTCTGATCCCTCCTCCTCCCTGCAGTATGTCTCTGATTTATAATTGTTTTTGCTTTGTTGTATTTTGTATTGTTATTATTTTTTACACTGATGTCTTATTTGATTTCCCCTATATTCCTGCTATAAGTGAAACCATCCGATATTTTTCTTTTTCCTTCTGACTTATTTCACTGAGCATAATTCCTTCTAGTCATCTTTAATCTTTTGAGGAAACTCCACTGTTTTCCAGAGGGACTTAACAAATCTAGGAAGGTTTCCTTTTATTCCACATCCTTGCCAGCACTTGCTGTTCCTGTTTTTTTTTTTTTTTTTTTTTGAGATGGGCCATTTTCACTGTGTTTTGGGATGCATTTCTCTGACAGTAAGTGGTGATGAACATTTTTCATGTGCCTGTTGGACATCATCTGTATGTCTTTTTTGGAGAAGTAGTATTTAGCTTTTCTGCTCATTTTTTGATTGGGTTATTTGTTTTCTTTTTGTTGAGTTGTATGAGGTCTTTGTAGATCTTGTCCATCAGCCCCTTGTCAGATATGTGGTATGCAAATATTTTCTCCGAGTCAGCAGGATGTCTTTTCATCTTAGTTATGGTTTCATTCACTGTGCAAAAGCTTTTCAGTTTGATGTAGTCCCAGTTTTTTATATTCTCTTTTCTTTCCCTTGCTGTTAGAGATGAATTCATAAAGCTATGTTGGAAACTGTTTTGCCAATGTTTTCTTCTGTGTATTTTATGGTTTAAGGTCTTACATTGCAGTCTTTTATCCATTTTGAATTGATTTTTGTGGATGGTGTGAGATAGTGGTCTAGCTTTATTCTTTTGTATGCACCTATCCAATTTTCCCAACAACATTTACTGACGAGCCTTCCTTTGTCAACTAAAAGTTTCAAGACTCTGATATAACTCATTAAAAAAATAAAATAAAATAACTCATTAAATGATCTATTGCAGATTTATAACACTTCATTTTAACATCTACATTGGAAATATTATTTACAAAGCTTTTATTTTGGGGAGGAAGAATAGTGACCTATTTATTCTTTCACTTGTTTAAAACATGCTTTTCTAAACATTCCGACATAAACACTATAATATTCAACCTTTTATCTAACCTAAACCAATCTGCACATTTCTCTGGTTCAGATAATATGTCTTAATGGAAACAATAAGTTTATTTAGTAATTTGTAAAAAAAAGAGAAACTATACAGTGCCTAAAGTATTTTTATAGCACTTAAATATCAGCCTATTAGCTAAATAGAATCGAAAGTGATTTGTAATACTGGACTGTGGCCTTAAGATGGCAGTAGTTCTACATTAGAAATATTTTTCATTGGCTTTAGTAATCTTAAAATCTTTAAGTTTCTTAATAAAAAATGCTACATCATGTTATGCTCATCATTTTTGTTCTTGTCACAAGAGGAGAAGCCTATTTAGAAATTTTGCTGTGTTTTTATTTTTTTGTATGTGTTTATTTTTGATGTTGGAGAGAGGATGTAATGGCACTAAGTCATTCAGTGGGAGTTTTCTTACTGAGGTTGTATCTGAATAAAATATGAGCTTAGTTCCTCTTGGAGAAAGAGTAAAAAATATTAAATGGCACAATTGTGATACAAAAAAATATCCAATGATATAGCAATGGATTTAAATTTAATTAGGATAAATGTTAAGGTTTGCATTTAGGTTCAAATAACCAATTTTAACAGCACAGCAGGTCCTTGTAAAAACAATTCATTCTACATCATTTCATTGTAACTTTGATGAGCAAGAATAATCTTAGTCATGGTTAAGAGATGTGACTTTATTCAAGGACCCGATTTTGTTACATGCTGTTCACTTTCCCAGAATCTATCAAGGATATGTAATCTTGATTTACCAGCTGTAAGCTGGAAATAAAATATGGACAAACTCAATACATCTCTGCTTCTCCTTGATGGGCAGTCACATGTGATACTTCCCTTTGCCTTGTCTGTTCTTCAAGGTGTGTGAGGGTTCTCAATTGCAGAAGGGCTAAGATGTCATTGGGGCTGGGAAGATTTCCACTCCTTGATTAATGGCATCCAATCAACTTTTTTTCCTCAGCTAGGCTATCCTAATCAGTCTTTGGTTGCCTCTTTTACACTGGCTACATGCAGCAACCATCCCTGCTCTATAAACTCTGAAACACCTCAGTGACAATGGCAGCATTAAAATGCTTAGTTTTAACCAAAACCATTTCAAATGCCATTCCACCGTCATCAACCTCTGAATCTCTCTTGAGGAGTCGTGGTAAACCTTCACAGGAGTCTTCGGCCTTTGAAATCACAGAAAAGAAGG